GAGATGACACGTGCCACTTAGCATAGGATCTGAGTGTGGAAGTCGTCCAACGTGGCATGCGTGCGCTCAATCCAAAACGTTGCCCGGGAATGGTAATCTGATAACGGATGGAGGAGGTAGTGGATGGACTTGTGGAAGGGGAGGTATGAAGCGGCGAATCTCCCTGTCGTCGGTGGGGATACGGGTGTAATGGATGGTGTGGTGGATGTGGGGGAATCGGGGGTGAGCTCGTTGATGAGGGAGAGAGGCGAGATAGTCAGGGTAGAGAGTGGAGAGGGTGCGCGAGGTGCAGCGCAGAAGCTCTCATAATTTTCACAGGCAGGAATCGTACCTGAGATGATACAATAAACTTCTATATTATTATATTCCCACCAGGTCGCGCTGAAGAGAAGGACATGGAGAGAGAAGAAGGCGACGAAGGAACGGGTGGTAGCATGCGGGACAACGGTGACGATAAGGCGGGTGGCATAAAACTGTTGGAAGAGACTGGGCGGGAAGGGGCCCCAATGCACCATCCATCAGGGAACGGGGGTCGACCCAAGAGCTGGTGGGTTGTGAGGAAGTCAAGGGGACGGCGGGATAACGACCGGGGACGAAGCCCGATCGCCCGTATTTCCATGAAGGCGGAGGGTGGCTCGTGATGGCGAAGAAGACGGAGCCGGGGATTCACTTCTTCTGCGGCGTCAGCTTCCTGATCCCTCCGTTGCGGCTCCATTGGATTCTTCGCGTGGTGGCTCCGGATTCAACGATGGATCGCCCAGCTGCAGCTGTGGTGGCGGCCCTTCAGATTCCTCGATCAGCCGCTTGCCCTTTGCTTTCTCTCGCCTTCGCGGAGTTTCAGCCTCCTCCTCTTCCTTGCTTCATGGGGGATGGACGCTTGGTTCCTTCGATCCTCTTCCCTCTTCCTCCTCCTCAGACCCAATGTAGTCGGGATCGTCTTGATTAGTGCACGATTCTCCTTCCTCCGACTCCTCTCCTTCTTCTTCTTCTTCTTCGTAACTGGCTTCTATTGCGTTCCCTCGCCTGATGAAGGGGTCCCACAGTGTGAGATCGGTGACGTCAATCTCGAGATAGAGGCTCGGGGACGGGTAAAAGCAGTTATCTCCGTCCAGCTCCATACACCTGGACCACACCAGATGGGGCGCAAGCGTGCGAGTGAGCACGTCTGTCCTCGGCTTCTCGTCGCACCTCGAAAGAATATCGAGGGGCAAGTCGTCCACTAGCTGCGCCAAAAACACCAACAACTCGTCCGTGATTGCGTCCAGGTGGCCTTCCTCCACCTTGCCGAATAGTACCTCCAACAATTCTCCTTCCGTACTCGTCCGCCAGGCTTTCACGATCAACAGTTCCACCTCGTCGTCCTCGACCTCACCCCCTTCGGCTTCTGGCGCTGGCTCCGCCCAATGGAACACGACATATACCAAACAAAAGTTGAGCTCTATGTAGGCGTCCCACCACTTGGTCCACTTGTCTTCGTCCAAGATTGGCATGTTAAGCTCCCGGATTCAGAAAGAGAGGGCGGGATTGAGAACAGATTGCCAGAGAGTGGGGAGATCGGACGGGAGGTTAAAGAGGAAGAGGCGATGACGGTTCATTGGGGCCACTCAAAGGGGAGAAGCTCCGGGAGAAGAATCTCCGGCGTGCTGCTGGAGGTGCAGAGGCGGAGGTCTATATCGTTTGTGGTCACGATCCTTTCCCCCTGCAAAGCCAGCAACTCGACCCACGTGGCTGTGATCTCCTCGACCGAGCCCCGCGACTGTCGAATCGTGCCGATAGACGTCCGCATGAATCGCCGAGTGCAGCGTTGTGATATCACCCGTGAAGGTAACAATGACGGATACGTGGCTGGCACCGGGCGATGACAGGCGTTGGAAAGCCGCAATCTCGGCCAGTACACGCATCGCCCTTGCGTGTACAAAACGGAACTTTGTTGCTGCATGGATGGCTGCGGTGCTGAAGAAGGCGGCGAATCGAAGGAGGTCGAGACTCAACCTAGGTCGCTTCACCAGTCCGATCGTCGCTATACAGCGTATACGCCCCCTCGAGGTTATCAAACACTCATTGATCTCTTGCTTCGAAAGACTCGTGGCGATGGAGGTGGAGTCGAAGACGATGGTTGAGAGGGGAAAGAGGATTCTAGAAAGTCGTCATCCTCGTCTTGGCCGAGGGACAATGAAGACGATGGAGGAGAAAGGGAAGAGGGGAGAGGACGAAGGTAGGACACGTGTCGAATGATCAGACGAGCAGATTTACTTCCCAACACCTCCGGTGCAAGCCGTATCGTGTTCACCCCGCCTGGACCTAGCTCAAGCATGCGAAATCGCCCGAAGAATCCTGGGGCTAGCTTGCCTTGGCGAGCACATTTCCTCACCTGCACCATGTCCCCTAATTTATACTGGGGCCGAGGCTCAACATTCCCATTTCGGGACTCATAACTCCAAACTTGTCTACCGTGGGCCATTTCCGTCATCCGCTGTCTCTTTCAGGCTAATCGGGGGAGGACCCTTTCCATCAACTCTAGATGGCGTTGGGCCTTGTCCTTAACCGTTGCTCTAGTGGCCCGTCGCGGAAGGGTGATTTCATCATTTAGGCTCGAGAGGGCTACACAGGCTATATTATTGGTCCGTAATTGGAAGGGGGTTAGGCCGGTGGACTCGTGAGGCGTTCCCGGATGAATGGCCAGGATGTGATCTACGAATCATGCGAAGGCCTGGTATCTTTAGCGGCGATATTTCACTGTCATGCGGTCTTAATTACTCGGTCCCCATTCTCGACCAATCCGTTCGATTGCGACATATGCGGCGCAGTATTACGAATGGAGACTCCCTGTATGACTAGACTCCTCAGGACCTCCCCTCGGAATTCCGCTTCATTGTCCGTAAGTATTTCCTCGATGCCCTGATGCATCCTGAGGAAACGGTTGACATACAACGCTATTTCCACCGTTTGTCTAGTCTGACATGGGTAGGCCTCGATCCATTTTGAAACGTGGTCAATGAACACCAAGAGGATTTAATATTCACAGCTTTTCACTCAAGGGGGCACGACGATATCCGCCGTATCCATGCTAACCCTCTGAAACGGTCGTTGGACTTCCGTGAGCACAATCGATCTAGGCGACTGCATCGACACTTTGTCAGCGGCGCAGACGAGACAATTTCGAACAATGAATTTAACATCGCCGCGAATATTGGACCAATACCATTCATTCTTGTCAATTGCCGCCTCTGTAATCCGTACGGCAAAGTGAGTTGCAGCCTCTTCGTGTGCCGACTTAACCCAGCCATTCCTTACGAATGGATGGGGCACGACCATCCAAATCCCACTACCGTCGATCTTTCGTTTTTCCAACCGTCCGTCTTTCCATCGATAGCCCGTGCCCTCTCATTAGCCCTTCTACGGTCTTCCTTGGTGAAGTCTCGGAGGGGGTTCCCGACGACTGTGGCTATCAAGACGACATTTGTCTATACCTCGACCCTTCTAAACCTACGGGGCTTTTCTAAACCCTCCGACGTGGCTTCCAGAAAGCGAGCTTCCGTAGGAATTTTGTCGGATCAACACAAGGGACACAGCCAGGCTTTGTCCAAGTTTCGGTACTGAATGCAGGAACCATGGGCTCTGGAGACAGTGCCGACAATCTACCCATTCGACCTATCCTTCCCCACTAGGACGCATAGAAACCGAATAAACTCTCGAAATTGATTCACATAAATAACAAAATTTATCGGGCAAGGAGAGAAGAGACGAAGACGAAGGGGGAGAACGAGGGTCTTCGGAATTACCTTCATGCCCCGTTGCCATTGTGACTGCCAACCTGTTCTTAGTGGGTCGAGGGAGGATGGCCACCTGTACGTACGAGGGCTCGCCATTTGGTTCTGGCTCCTTCCACGACGTAATCTCATCGCCCTTGGCCACCTTGTTGGTCCGATGTAATCGTGTCAGCCCGTCAACATTGTCGTGCTTTTCTGTCTTTTGGTGAACGATGTCAAAATCGTACTCTTGCAATCGCACAGCCCAACATCCAATCATGCCCGTGTAGTTGGTAAGCTTCTTGAGGGCCAGCAAGGGCTCATGATCCATGACGAGGAGAAACTTTTGCCCGTCCAGATACGGATGGAAGTGCTGGATTCCCAGACAACCACGTAGCATTCTCCTTGTGGTGCGGAATTATTTCTTCTTTCGTCCGGTATCGTTCGGAAAGCGTACTTGATGATGTGTTCGCGGCCGTCTTTCCCCTTCTGAGCTAGAATAGCGGAGATTGTTTCAGGCTGCCAGTCCGTAATGAGTATGAACTGCTTTTCAGGGGTCGGGCTGGATCAAAATAGACACCACAACCAAGGCTTCCTTGAAGGTGACAAAGGTTTGCTGACATTCCGTGTCCCAATTCAGTGCCGAGTCCTTCCATAGGAGATTCATTAGAGGTCGTGCGATAGCAGCAAAACCCTTGATAAATTGTCGGTAGTACGAGGCCAGTCCCAGAAAGGCCCGGACCTGCGTCAATGTTGTAGGCGTGGGGGCCTCTTGGACAACCGCAACCTTTCTCGAATACGGCCGCGAGCGCCCTCGCGTCACCACATACCCTAGGAACGAGATTTCCGACAAGAAAAACTCACTCTTTTCCAGGGCAATTTTGAAGCCCGCATCTCGCAGCGCTCCATGTGTTTCTTCGATATGTTGCGCATGCCTATGAAACGATTCCGAATGCACCAGGATGTCGTCCATCTACACGATAACGCAAAAATTCACCATTCCCTTTGTCTGTCGAGTCTTGTTAACGAAATTATGGAAGGTCATGTTCATCGCTCTTTGAAACGTAGCCGGAGCATTACAAATGCCCACAGGACATCGAACCCATTGCCACGTTCCTTCGAACAGTACGAATGTCGTTTTCGAACGGTCCTCTTGCTTCACCAATATGTGATAGAACCCATGGCGGATGTCGAACTTGCTAAAGTAGTTAGCACACCCAATTGCATCCATTTAATCATCAATCCGCGGGAGGGGATACACATCTTTGATCGTGATATCATTCAGTTTCCGATAATGGATGCAAATGCGAATGGATCCGGTCTTTTTAGGGACCAAACCCACGGGGAAGGACAACGGTCCGGTAGCGGGCTCGATCCAACCATTGGCCTCAAATTCTCTGATCCGCTCCAGAGCGGTTCATCTTTCGACTAACGAGTACCAATATGGTTCACAGTGAATCGCGAGTGGGTGCCAGTCTGGATCTCGTGCTGTATGACCCAAGATAGCCCTATGCCCGTGTCCTCTATACTAATCGCCTCTTGATATTCGGCTAGAATGTCTGCGATGAGTTTGTGTATCTTGTCCGGCACATGCAGTTCGTAGTGGCAGTCTCATATCTCCACTGGTAGTTGTTTTGCCCTGGTTGCATGAGTCTTTTTCGTAGGTGGGGATGATATAAAGGAATGGTCGRAACGCCAGGAGAATATCATGGCAACCATCRGAGCTTCCTCTTCCCTGATTGCCACGTGYTCCTCCGGGGTGATACCATCTTCGATATCCCGGAGGTCCACAACCTTCTCCTCRACTTTTAGTCCAATATCGAACGGGGTGAGGTCGTACAGCCCAGGGGGTTTCRGAGTCCAGTTCTCGACGCCTCCTTGTAGAAGTCGGATTTCTTTTCCTCTAGTGAGTAAMGAGYCGGGAGGAATTCTTGAGATATCGCAGAAAGACCGCTTATCCCGRTAYCTGGWTAACAATGGGGTGGTTGCCTCGTATATGGTTCGAGGGGGTTCCCAAGAATCCGTCAACCGGGATATCTKAACCAGCGGTTCTCCCATGATCAGTGCTCTGGTTCGCTGCGYGTCCCTTGTGAAAACAAAGGTTTTCATCGCTTTCTGTCGAAGTGGGTAGCAGACTCTTTGTCGTGTTAGCTCGAGAATTTGAGGATCTGCATCTTTCTCGCTCTCGGAGGTGGATGATGATAGTGTGGGTTCGACGTCAGATTCGTCCGTGGATTCTTTCCACCTTATCATTCGCAGGATTTTGCCGGGTTCCTGTCGTTAAAGCTCAGGCATCGAAGTCGTCCGAGGGGTGAGGCACATCGGAATGATGTGCGGCCTTCCTCCAGTGTTGTGGAGGATGACTACTTGTCGTTCAAAATCCAACATGGCCCACAAGGCTGTGAGGGCTGGTAATTCGACGAGGACATCGTACGTGGTTACGTTTAGGACCACTACGTAGCCCAAGGCGTGGGCCTTACCTATTCGGAAGGCGACGTTTGCCATCCTCCCTGCGATTCGGATCTTACCTTCGTCAGCGGAAACGAAGTGATTGCCCTTCGCGAGAGGAATCACGTCTTTCCGTCGGCGGCCCCCTTGACCAACCGTCGGGAGATGGTGAGGACCTCAGCTCCAGAATCAA